TTTAACTGCTGTTTCTATTTCATCTCTTGAAATTGGTCTGTTCAGGGAATCTATTTCTTCCTGGTTGAGCCTAGGGAGGCTGTGTGTTTCTAGAAATTTGTCCATTTCCTCCACATTTTCCAGTTTGTGTGCATAAAGACTTTTGTAGTATTCATAAATTATATCTTGTATGTCTTTGGGATCAGTTGTGATATCTCCTTTTTTGTTCCTGATGGAGTTTATTAGAGATTTCTCTTTTCTGCTTTTCATTAGCCTAGCCAATGGCATGTCAATTTTGTTCATTTTTTCAAAGAACCAACTTTATGTTTCATTAATCTCCTGAATAGCCTCCCTGTTTTCAATTTCGTTTAGTTCTGATTTGATCTTGTTGATTTCACTTCTTCTGCTGGGTTTGGGGTTGGTCTGTTCTTCTTTTTCCAGCTCTTTGAGTCGTTTCGTTAGATTGTCTATTTGTGATCTCTTTGTCTTTTGGTTATAGGCATTTATGGAGATAAACTTTCCTCTCAGAACTGCTTTAGCTGTGTCCCAGAGGATTTGATAACTTGTCTCCCCATTGTCATTTAGTTCATAGAATTTTTTTATTTCCATCTTGATTTCTTTATTTATGAAGTAATCATGTAGTAGGAGGTTGTTTAATTTCCACGTTTTTGTGTAGAAATGCGAGTTTCTGTTAGGGTCGATTTCTACTTTTATTCCACTGTGATCCAAGAAGCTACATGGTATGATTTCTATTTTTTAAATTTCTTGAGGTTTACTTTGTGTCTAGGATATGGTCAATCTTAGAGAATGTCCCGTTAGCTGATGAGAAGAATGTATATTCAGTGGATTTTGGGTAGAATGTTCCTGTAAATGTCAGTCAGACCCAATTGTTCAGAGTTTTTTTTTTTTTTTTTTTGAGACAGAGTCTCACTTTGTTGCCCAGGCTAGAGTGAGTGCCGTGGCGTCACTAGCTCACAGCAACCTCAAACTCCTGGGCCGAGTTATCCTTCTGCCTCAGCCTCCCGGGTAGCTGGCTAGGCAGGCATGCGCACCATGGCCGGCTAATTTTTTTTATATATATATCAGTTGGCCAATTATTTCTTCTATTTATAGTAGAGACGGTCTCGCTCTTGTCAGCTGGTTTTGAACTACTGACCTTGAGCAATCCGCCCGCCTCGGCCTCCAAGAGAGATTACAGGGTGAGCCACAGCGCCCGGCCTGTTCCAGGTTTTGTTTAAGTCCTATATTCCTTATTAATTTTCTGTTTGGAGGATCTGTCTCATGCCGTCAGTGGGTGTTGAAATCTCCGGTGATTATGGAGTTGCTATTAATCCATTTGCTTAGATCCAGTAAGGTTTGCTTTATGAAACTGGGTGCACCTAAGTTGGGTGCATATATATTTAAAATTGTTATCTCTTCTTGTTGAAGTGTGCCCTTCACCATTATATAATGACCCTCTTTGTCTTTCACTACTTTTTTGGTTTAAAAACTCAATCATCTGACATTAGAACTGCCACGCCAGCTTTCTTTTGGCTTCCACTTGCCTGGAATACTGATCTCCACCCTTTTACTTTTAGTCTATATGCATCCTTGCAGGTTATATGTATTTCCTGAAGACAGCATATACTCAGCCTGTATTTTCTTATCTATTTAGCCAGCCTATGTCTCTTGATTGGAGAGTTTAAGCCATTCACATTTATTGAGAGAACTGATGGGTGAGGTAGATTATTGTTCATTCTGTTGGGCTGGATTTTGTTGCTCTGATTTCTCTCTTGAGCCATTGTATTATCTGGCCTTTAATCTTTGGGTTTTGGTTGTTTTTATATTCGTGAGTTTTTATTATGGTGTACCGTGCGTAACACTGTTTTGAGTGCTTCTTGTAGGGCTGGTCTTGTCTTAGTGAATTCTCTGAGAATTTGCTTGTCTGAGAATGTCTTTATTTCTCCGTCATAGATGAAGCTTAGTTTTGCAGGGAATAAGATTCTAGGGTGGGCATTGTTTTGTTTCAGAAGAGTGAGAATGGGGCCCCAGTCTCTCCTTGCTTGTAAAGTCTCATTAGAGAAGTCTGGTGTTATTCCAATTGGCTTTCCCTTGTGTGTCACTTGCTTCTTTCATCTTACAGCTCTTAGAAGGGCTTCTTTAGTTGATATTTTGGTCAGTCTGATGACTGCATGTCGTAATGTCTTCCTTTTGCATTGAATTTCCCAGGGGTCCTCTGAGCTTCTTGAACTTGTATATCGAGATTTTGAGCAAGGCCTGGAAATTTCTCTATTATATCTTCAAATAGCTTGTCCAACCCTTGAGTGTTATCTTCTTCCCCTTCTGGTAACCCTATGACCCTCACATTAGGTTTCTTCACATAATCCCACATCTCTTGTAGGCTTTGCTCTTTTCTCTTGTTTCTCTGCTCTATCTCTGGGATGGTTTTGTTTAGTTGGAGGATGTTATCTTCAATCTCTGAGATTCTTTCTTCTGTTTGATCCACCCTGTTCTTGAGACTTTCCACTGTATTTTGTAGTTCTCTGAATTGATTCTTCATTTCCAGGAGTTCAGTTAAAGTTTTCTTCATTGTGTCTATTTCTTTAGTGAACTTTTGTTCTGGGTCCTGGAGGCTTTTTGTGGTTTCTTTGCATTGGTTATTGAGTTGTTGTTGCAGGTCGGTGAGTGTTGTTATGATCCACATACGAAATTTCTCTTCTGTCATTTTGGTTGCCTGATTTGGGTTGGTGTCCGTTTCTAGGGGGCTGGGGCTCCTCTTTTGAGGTGTGTTTTCCGTTTGGTTCTTCATATTTCCTGAGTTCCTTCGCTGATTTCTTCCCATGTCGATCAGTTGTTGTTTCTTTCCTTTTGGTTGTTGTTTGGGTATTCACACGCCTTGTTTAGTTTCTGAGCCGGTAGGTGTTGTCTGTGGGTGAGATTCGACCACTCCCTGTATAATGAGTCCGTAGGTGCAGTCTAAAGGGTGTGCAGGGTGTCCTCTCTGTCAGTAGGTGGCGCTTGCTTGGAGGAACAGGCTATGCTGTTGTTTTTGTGTCCTGTTATCAGCTGTTGTTCCTGGAGAGGTGCACTCTAGTGCCTCAGGTGGTGGGTGGGGTCCTGGGACTTCCAAGTGTGTCCTTTTCTCCCCCTCAGTGAGGGCTGGTCTGGGAGTGAGTCTGGGCAGAGCTGGGTTTGGTAAGCCTGCCCTCAGGCACCACCAGTGCAGTTAGCAGGGATCAAAGTTCTGTTCTCTGCCTCCAGGAAAAGCTGTCAGGGAGGGGCTGGAATGGCCCAGCTCAGCCAGAAAGTCTTCGTGTGGGGTGGGGATGTCTGAGACCCCCAGTCTGGAGCGGGCCTGGCTTCTTTCCACCGTCCCCAACTCCGCGGCTACTCCTGGGACTCTGCCAGCAGGCCAGACTACACACCACCAGGCCTCCCCAGACTGTGATGCTGGTGGGGAGGTTCCCTGCGCAGGAACGCCATCTGGGCTGGGCGCAAGGCCTCCTTTTGGGAGGAGGCTTGCCTTTTAGGACGCTGATCTGCCCCTGAAGGCACACACAGCTCAGTAGGCTGTTCACGTATATCCCTTCTGTGCCCCGGACAATTCAAGACCTCAGTGCACGGGATTTGGTCTGCAGGTCTGACTTCTGGGTCCCAGAGTTCAAACTGTATCCCCACCAGGGAGAGGAGTGCTGGTCCCAATTTACCCACAGGAAGCCGAACCTGAGTCTATTTCTCTCAGCCTCAGGGTCTGCTCCATTCTCCTGGGTTACCGTGCCAGCAGCACCTGGGAGGGCTGGCGGGTAGGGAGCTCACAGTCTTAGTTCCCCTTTGTCAGCTGTAGGGTCCCAAAAGGGAAGGTCCTGTTCCCTAGAGGTGCCTCCGGCTGGTGGCTGTATTGTCTCTCTGTCTCTCTGGGCAGCTGCGGGTAGGGTCAGGGGAGGGGAGAAGGAGGCAATATGGTGCCTGCCGAGTGGCTGGGGTCTGTGCACACGGTGGTGCCCCGCGTGATTTGGGAGCCTGGTGCCATGTCCGCTACAGGCTCACCGCTGGCTGGCGGCGGCCGTCTCTGGCCTGGTGTCTGCAGGTCTCTCCACCCGCTGAGGAGCCCACAAGCAGTCCCAGATGCAGGTGAGGGGAAACGGCACATCCACCTACCCTTCCCGCTGGTCTCTGGGCTGCTCCGGCGGTCTCAGCTTCCAGTTCTTCTCCGCAGCCTCCTCCCATGGAGTCTCCCAGGGTCTCAGGTACCCGTCCTTCCAGCCCTCGTCCGCTGTAGGCTCGTCTTCTTGCTTCTTTTTTCTAATTTCTGCTAGAATCTGTCTTTTCTGCAGAGACACTTTGTCTGGCAGTGTTTCTCGTCCGCCATCTTGATCCAGCCACCCCTGTCTTTTATTTATATACGTTTTCCTTACCTTTAAATCTTTGATCACTTTAGTATTTGTCTTTGTGCAGTATGGATCCAGTTTTATTTTTTCCCAAATGGTTGCATGCTCTTTCCAGCACCATTCATTAAAATACTCTATTTTCCTGCTTCTGATTTGAGAAGGCAGCTTTGTTATATTGTCAGGTTTTCTTGCTATTATGGCAATTTCAGTAGCTTGCTACCAATTAATTTGACATCCTGTATTGATAGCCCTGTGAATCATTAGTCAGTCTTAACTGTAACGTTTTATCATTTGAAGAGTGTTTTTATATCTGGTAAGGAATGATATAACATTGGGGAGAAGTCAGTGGTTCAGGGGTCACAGGTGAAGCTGCTGTTATCAAGGTTTTCTGTTATCTTTCCTTAGGAACTTTGTGAAAATGATAATGTGAGAACCTTATGAGACTTTAGACAGTTTCAGGAAAGAAACTCAATGGGCTATTTACTTCAGTGTTGTGGTTAAAGAGCAAGTGTTGGTTTAACTGTGACTTTACAGATCTATGAAAAAATACAGGTTTCATTACTATTATCTAGCCCAAGGTAGTAAATGTCCCTGACTGCCTGCATTTTGTCTGTGGACAAGTTATAAATCATAATGTCTTTGTTTTCTTTTCAGTAGGCCAACTTTGTCCATCCAGCATCCACCATCTGCCGCAATTAGCATTCAGCGTCCTGCCCAGTCACGAGATGTAACAACAAGAATCACACTACCATCTCACCCTGCATTAGGGACACCAAAACAGCAGCTTCATACAATGGCTCAGGTAAAATTAGAGGTGAAAAACCACCTTTGTTCTTTGTTGGGTAAAACTACAATAATGCAAAACTTGGCAAGGATGTCACAGTATTAAAGGCAGTGTTTGCTTATAGATGGGATGAAGTGGGAAATGTTCTTGATAACTCTGTGTTGTGGGGTTCCCCCCACAGAAAACTATCTTCAGTACTGGTACACCAGTGGCTGCAGCAACAGTAGCACCTATTTTGGCAACCAACACCATTCCTTCAGCAACCACAGCTGGTAAGTCTGTAACCTTGCTCGTCTTCCTGCTGGAGAAAAGTGAAGTATTAGGGGTCTAATTGACCGGGTTTTTGAGAATCTGTAATGTATGCAGAGAAGCCATTGTTGAAGAATTTCCTTTTTTCGCCATTTCAGGATCTGTGTCACACACGCAAGCTCCCACAAGTACAATTGTTACCATGACAGTGCCCTCCCATTCATCCCATGCTACTGCTGTGACCACCTCAAACATCCCAGTCGGTAAGTGTCATGCAGCCTTCAGACAGAAGTTTACAAGGAATTTTTTAGTCACTCAGACCAGGCCTTCATGTTGACCACTAGTATTGATTTTTTATTGCTGTTCATTTTCAAGGCAATACTGAACGTGACTTTTTTTTTTTTTTTTTTGAGACAGAGTCTCACTCTGTTGGCCAGGCTAGAGTGAGTGTCGTGGCGCCAGCCTAGCTCACAGCAACCTCAAACTCCTGGGCTCAAGCAATCCTTCTGCCTCAGCCTCCCGAGTAGCTGGGACTACAAGCGTGTGCCACCATGCCCGGCTCATTTTTTCTATATATATATATTAGTTGGCCAGTTAATTTCTTTCTATTTATAGTAGAGATGGAGTCTCACTCTTGCTCAGGTTGGTTTCGAACTCCTGAGCTCAAAGGATCCACCCGCCTCGGCCTCCCCGAGAGCTAGTATTACAGGCGTGAGCCACCGTGCCCGGCCCTGAATGTGACTTTTAATATTAGTTATCATATGGATTTGGAAATCACGTTAGGGAATAAAAGAGGAATCTTTGAGCATGCACCACCATGCCTGGCTAATTTTTTCTATATATTTTTAGTTGGCCTATTAATTTCTTTCTATTTATAGTAGAGACAGGGTCTCACTCTTACTCAGGCTAGTTTCAAACTCCTGACCTTGAGCAACCCACCCCCCTCTGCCTCCCAGAGTGCTAGGATTACAGGCGTAGGCCACTATGTCCGGCCCATAGTGTACTTTTAGAAGTATGACTACTTTTTGTTAAGAGGACACACTGACAAACTGAACTTTCAAAAATCTGGTGACCGAGGAGTTTGAGGTTGGTGTGAACTAGGCTGACACTCTAGCCAGACAACTGAATGAGACTGTCTCAAAAAAAAAAAAATTCTGGTTACCAGACATAGAAGTGTGGCTATCCTACCCGCTGGATCCCTTCTTCCCTTCCTACAACACGTGAAATAGACTGGAGGTTCTCAGCCCCCTTAGCAAACTTTGGGGACTCTTTTCTGGAGTAATGGTAGAACCCAGGAATTCCCCACTCCTAGGTGTCCAGGTCATGCCTTAAATAGGTGCTCAGTCCTACAGAAGGCTTTTAGCAGTGAAGGCACTGCTGCTGGGTCTTTCTTGTGTTACTGCTCACTGTTACTTCCCATTGGAAAGACCAAATTTCTGTTATATCCTTGTGAATTTAATTCACTTTTTTGAAAAGAAGTCTGTTTTGTTTATAGGTGTATTGTTTTAACATTAATGAACATTTGTTGGGGAAGTTGGTGGACTGTTCATATTGTCATTTCAAACCACTATCTGGCTCTATCCAGCAGAGTGGTCAGCTGTCTTTAAGTGCTGTCAAGCCAATTCTCTTGCCTTTTACAGTCAGTAACCTCACTACGGTCTTTGTGATGAAAATCAGACCAGTAAAGGGGGGTCATTGTGCCCTCGAAGGACTTTCATGTGTCCTCTTGATTCTCCTCACCCTTTGCTAGAGGTTGGTTCTTATTAATGCTCCTCTGTCTTCCTAAGACATCACTAAACATACCAGGAGACATAAATATGATCATTCTTCAGTTCCATCAGGTTTCTGCTCTGATTTTGTTTGTCTCTTATATACTAACTCAAATATTTCTTTGTTTAATCCTAATAGGATCCCTCTAAAAAGGTATCTCAGTTAAAAAGAGAAACATGATAGAACCTAGACCATTCATTTTCAAGTTGGGGTGTAGGAAATATATTAAATTTGCCTAAGTGGCTTTTTACAAGTTATAATTGGCTTCTAAGGTGAAATTAAATTTTGAATTCAGCCGGTGTCATTAATGTGATTATATTGGGTGAGGGAAAAGAAGCCCAATAATCATAAGTATAAGATTTTTGCTTCTAATTAACATTCATGTCTGATAGAATACCATTCTTGTTCTCTCCATGGCCTGGCCCACACATAACAGTGGCCAAAATTATAGAATTTTGTATATAATTATATAGGTATAGTTTCTTACACCTATAATCCTAGCACTTCAGGAGGCTGACATGTGAGTATTTCTTGAGGTCAGGAGTCTGAAACCAGCCTGAGCAACACAGCAAGATCCCATCTTTACAAAAAACTGAAAAATTAGGAGGTGGGGGTGGTGGCGCACACTGGTAGTCCCAGCTACTTGGAAGGCTGAAGCAGGAGGATCACCTGACTCCAGGAGTTGGAGGCTGCAGTGAACTATTATATGCCCAGACAACAGAGTGAGATCCTGTTTCCTAAATAAATAAAAGAATTATAGATGATCAAATTTAGAAAATAAGGATTATCTGTTGAGATAGCATTATGGTAGACTTTTAATTTCTGTATTATATATTTCCTTTTATAAAATACAGCTAGGCGAGGTGGCTCACACCTGTAATCCTAGCTCTCTGGGAGGCTGAGGCGGGCGGATCACTCGAGGTCAGGAGTTGGAAACCAGCCTGAGCAAGAGACCCCATCTCTACTGAACATGGAAACAAATGAATTGGCCAACTAAAAATATATTAAAAAAAAAAAAATAAGCCAGGCATGGTGGTACATGCCTGTAGTCCCAGCTACTCGGGAGGCTGAGGCAGCAGGATCGCTTGAGCCCAGGAGTTTGAGGTTTCTTTGAGCTAGGCTGACACCACAGCACTCTAGCTCAGGCTACAGAGTGAAACTATGTCTCAAAAAATAATAATAATAATTAAAATAATCTTTCCAACCTCTGGTTAGTTACTCTGACAAATGACAGCTTCATTCCTTTTGGAAGGTGCGGTGGCTCACGTCTGTAATCTTAGCACTCTGGGACACTGAGGCGGGAGGATCGCTTGAGTTCAGGAGTTCGAGACCAGCCTGAGCAAGAGCAAAACCCCGTGTCTACTAAAAATAGAAAGAAATTAATTGGGAAACTAAAAATATATATAGAAAAAATTAGCCGGCATGGTGATGCATGCCTGTAGTCCCAGCTACTCAGGAGGCTGAGGCAGGAGGATTGCTTGAGCCCAGGAGTTTGAGGTTGCTGTGAGCTAGGCTAACGCCACGGCTCTCTAGCCCCGGCAAGAGAGTGAGACTCTGTCTCAAAAAAAAAAAAAAAAGAATGTGTGGCTTTTTTAATTAGGAAAAAAGCAAACATTTAAATTCATAAAGTGTGTGGTAGACTGGGTCTGGTTACCAACCACTGTTAGCTATAAATTTGTAGGTAGTATGTGGTCGGTTGTGTCTGCTTTCCAACCTCTGGTTAGTTACTCTGACAAATGACAGCTTCATTCCTTTTGGAAGCATCATTTTCTCCTACCTTTTATGTGGCTCAGTTAAAAACAAGGCTTAGTTGCTTCCCACTCAACAACCCTCTGCTTGCCCTATTGATGGAAGACCTGTCATGCCAGCTTCTCTATCTTAGCCAATAGATGCCGCCATCAGTGGTCAGGGCATGTCAGCCATCATCCTGTAGAAATGTCTCCAGATGCCTACCCCAGCACCTGGCTAGGCATCACAGTGCATCTGTAGAGCTTACTGTTGGTGTTAAATGCTCTGTACTTTGGGTAATATATTGGCATCATCCTAGTCTCTAGGTTTATGTGCCTGTCACTGGTGGAACTTCTATCTGTGAGATAGTTCCCACAGATGGAAAGTATCCCTCTCTATTTCTGATATTGGTCCCAGCTTTTCTTTCCAAATTCTCAGGCATAGAGTTAATAGACAGCTCTGTAAAGAATGGTAAAGTATGTTCCATTCAGGTATACCTTCTAAACAAAATTTGATTGCATGTTGTAAGGAGTACAAAGTTTGAGCCTCAGATGAATTTGAAAACTGTGGTCATATTGGTTGTGATTTTGCTGAAAAATATATGTAAAATCACAGGACATTTAAAGGACCATGGAAACTTGTAACTGATAATCTAGAGAAGGCTTCCTTACAGATGAGCAAACTGAGACTTGGAAATTAAAATGATATTCTCATTGCTAATTAGCTGCATTTTAGAATTGGCTATGGACCTGGAGTAGAATGTAAGGGACTTTGCCATTTTGGGATTCAAAATTTTGTTTTTCTTTTTTTTTTTTTTTTTTTTGAGACAGGGTCTCGCTTTGTTGGCCAGGCTAGAGTGAGTGCCATGGCATCAGCCTGGCTCACAGCAACCTCAAACTCCTGGGCTGGAGTGATCCTACTGCCTCAGCCTCCCAGGTAGCTGGGACTACAGGCATGCGCCACCATGCCTGGCTAATTTTTTTTCCATATATATTAGTTGGCCAATTAATTTCTTTCTATTTATAGTAGAGACGGGGTCTCGCTCTTGCTCAGGCTGGTTTTGAACTCCTGACCTTGAGCAATCCGCCCGCCTCGGCCTCCCAAGAGCTAGGATTACAGGCGTGAGCCACAGCGCCCGGCCTCTTTTTTTTTTTTTAAAGCAGTATCTTCTTTTAAAAAAAAAAGATCTCCAAGAAACCAGATTGAAAAGAAAGGGCCTGGTTGCAGATATCTTTAAATGTTAGTGTTGAACCCGGCTTTAACAAATAACAGTAGCGATATATAGCACGGGATGATTGGATTGAAATAATTCATTTGAACCTTATGTAGTCATCTTCCATTTTTTATTTCGATTGAAAGTAAAATTCCAGGTTTATTTTAACTGTTTGAATTCATAAGATTGCTGCTAGCCAGGAACATCCTGACATTCCAGTAAAAGTATATGAGTGCTCACATAATTCGATTTTACTGTTTGTAGCTAAGGTGGTGCCTCAGCAAATCACACACACTTCTCCTCGGATCCAGCCTGATTATCCTGCAGAGCGGAGCAGCCTGATTCCCATTCCAGGACATCGGGCCTCTCCAAATCCTGTGGCCATGGAAACCCGAAGTGACAATAGGTAGGAGGCAATTTGTCAGTTACTCTGCCCCATTGTGTTATTAATTTGTTCAATTTTTCAATAAAACAAATGTCCCAAAAATATGGCATATATTTATTATATGTATTTTCAGATTTTCCCCTGAAAATAACACATTGCATAATTTCTTTTCTGTTATGAGAATGTATTTTTATTAAGCCATTCTTGTGATGAATGTTCTCCTCATATCCATTTTTTCATTTTGTGTGTAATTTTGAGGGGCATTTTGAGAGTAAGGTTTGCAGCATTGTTACCCTTTATACATAAGTATCTCCATTTCTAAATCCTAAGAACAAAGACATTCTTTTAACTACGGTACAGATATCTGAAACGATTCTTTTTTTTTTTTTTTGAGACAGAGTCTCGATTGTTGACCAGGCTAGAGTGAGTGCCTAAGAAAAAAGAGGAGAGAGGAGGCGAGAGGAGGAGAGGAGGAGCAGGAGAGGAGAGGAGGGGGAGAGGGAGGGGAGGGGAGGGAAGGAGGGGAGGGGAGGGGAGGGAGGGGAGGGG